CTGAAGAATCTTGTCATCCATATTGCTTCGCTTAAATAAGCCCATACTGAAATAAATAAAGTGCTACCTGCCTTCAAACGGAGAAGCTCGGGAGCTTTCAATACCTTCTTTGTTACACGAGCATTTGGCTGACTGAATAGATCCGCTCGCGTCTCCCTCAATCCTCCCATTCGTCAGCTTTTTGAAATGTTTGAATCCTGTCCGGTCTAGTCAAAGAGGTTTGTTTACAAAGGCTCCTTCTCTGTCAGCCTTGCGAATACGACCGATCGGGCTGGGAGACGGCAGACTGGTGGTTCATAATCTGCATTAGTCATACATCCTACCAACTTTCATCACGTTTTCGTTGCGCCTGTAACAAGCGTTTCCACCAAGCCATTTATGGCCGATGTACGTCTGCAAATGTGCAATTAAGTAGCTATACCCTATATCTTATGGTAGTAGGTTTACGTGCCTTTTCTTAACTCTTGCCCCGGTCCGCCGTTTTTCAAAGCTTTAAATTGATGGGGAGGAAGGGGAGAGGGATGAATTCCACCCTGCTGCCTCTTCCGATCTAAGACAGGGAGAGCCTGGCGGTACAGGATTGGCTTCAATGGTATTGTGCGATGGAAATAAATTGGATATCGATATGTCCTTTATCGGCTTCAGTATGGTCCGTCAAGGGCCGGTTGTTACGAAAAAAAATCTGTCGGATCTGTCGATATGTCGGTGGACGCCTATCGTGCAAATTCGTGACCAGGTCTGGCTCGGCAGAAAGGTTGTAATACATATTTTTGTACTTTAATTTAATTTTTTGTTTCGGCCGCTTCAGTTTACGCTAGATCAATGTCATGCGCTCCTGGCGACGACAGTATTTGGCACTATGTTTGACTACTTTCGGAATTCGTTTACACTGTGTTGCACTGCAACCAGCTCAGACAGCTGCGCATGAAAGATAAATGAGAAACCCTGACTCAAGTCACAGTGAATAAAAACCACCGCACGCAAATTTGGTTTGAAAATGCCAGGTGCAAATGTCACACAATTTTCCTGACGGTGATGTGACGCCCTGCATCACGTTACCTTCCAAACGGAGCCTAACGTTGCAGGCAATCGGTGTTGTGGTGCGATCGTATCCACTGGAGACATATTTAGAATTTCGCGATGTTGTCACAACATTCGTTATACAGTCGACGGGTGAGACCGTTGGCGTTCTAAAAGTAATTCTGAACAAAAAGTGCGTTGCAAAATTTATTTAGGCCTTGTTCTACATCCCATGTGTAGAATACTTCCTCCAGACAGCACAGGAAATGATCATGTCGTCAAATAACAACAGTTGCGGTCTTATTGATTTAACAAATGAGGACAACGTGTCGTCGCCATGTCTGGGCTTTATACTGACCAATGTCTGGGCTTTATATACACAAGACCAGCAGCAAGGCTCAAGAACAGGAGGCATAACCGTCCGGCCAAATTTCGCTGCCCTCGGCTGATGACGTCACAAGTGTACTCGGCACGCAATGGTCAACGGTCTTGCCGATTTAACAAATAAGAGAAGCACGTCACCGCCAAGTCTGGGCTTTATGACAGCAGCAGGTCTCAAGAACAGGAGGCATAACCGTTCGGCCAAATTCCGCTGCCCTCGGCTGATGACGTCACAAGTGTACTCGGCACGTAGTGGTCAACGGTCGATGCATGCCTAACGCAGTTTGGTTAGCTTTTTAAAACGGCTTTAAGACTACAAGCATTTAAATATTTTTGGCTGGAACACAAAAAGACTGGTTCTTCTCTGAACAGGTCATAATGCCAGCCCCTAAGTGGACTGTTCATTAATTGACTGGCATCCTAGCCGAGCGCATTGGGCTGGAAGGTCGGATGACAAAAGGAAGCTTTCTCAGGAACTAATTGCCTGCTTTGGAAATATTTGCGAAAAGAGAAAGGGCTGGTGGGTGCAGCTTTAAAGAAACAAAAAAAAAACGAGAAGTATTGACAGGAAAGGCCAATGTCGGGTCAAATTCCTGCAGACTTTTTGAAACTTACCTCTTACAGCGGTTGGGCCTATCGAATTGTAAAAGTGCATGGCTTCTGGCAAAGTGAGGAACCTGTCTTACGAACATGCTGTCATAATGGGGGGTCAGATCAAGGTTCTGCCATGGTCCAGCGCGATTATTTAGTTTATTCATGCGACCTGTGCCTCAAAATATTTTTACATCTATTTTGCTCGCATGATGCACCTGAAACGTCAGCTACAGTTTTATTAGTCAGTACATAAGCCAAGATGGGGGTGGGATGTCGCGCATAAAATATGAATAGGAAAACTTCAGCTCGCGCGAGTCTTTTTTCTGGCAGCCGATGCGACAATTTTGGCAAGCCAGATAATGTGTGGCAACAATGTTTAACTTTGACAGAAACATGCCGTTCAAAAGTAAGAATCTTGTCCACAGCGAATCACATAAGTTTTGCAAAAGCGGATAGGCGTAATCATACGGCAACAGAACGTACTTCGAAATTTTGGGCTAGCAGTCTGTCGCGAAGATATAAGAACAAAATTAGTTTTTGTAGGGTAAATCTTTACGGTGCCTTGTGCAAGTTATCACCGCGCTTTGCTCACCGTTATGTCGGTTTGCTGCTGCATTGTTGACTGGAGGGACCACAGTGGGCAAACAACGTTATGTCATTTGCAAAGAGTAAGAAGAGTGCAGGTCCTAAAATTGAGCCTTGATTCACACTGTGAGTGAGCGGGACGCAGTGGACCTATATGACCGGCGGGGGCTCCGAAGGCCATTACTCAGTCAGTACCTGAACTAATGTCCGCCCACTCCATGCCAGTACCTGAACCAATGTCCGCCCATTATATACCAGTACCTGAACCAATGTCCGCCCACTACATACCAGTACCCTGAACCAATGTCCGCCCACTCCATACCAGTCCCTGAACCAATGCCCGTCTATGCCATACCAGTGCCTGAACCATGTCCGCCCACTCAATACCAGTCCCTGAACCAATGTCCGTCTATGCCATACAGTACCTGAACCAAGGTCCGTCTATGCCACGCCAGCCCAGCTTGTCCCATCGTTGTCCATGCTAGACGCTGTCAAAGGCCTTGGATGTGTCAACTGTCGTGACCAGACGGCGGTCCATCCGTTTGTGAGTAAGTGACCGCGTCCATCCCCATCTGCTCCGTGGATCGCCCTGGCCGAAGCCCAGGCTAGGTCACATGGGATCCCGTGAGACACCAAGTACTGCATCACTTGGGCACACGCCACCATCTCAGCAGGCTTCGTCCGCGTATCGTCACGAGCCATGATTAAGAGCGTCGATCTCGCACCCGGATTTCCAGGGCCGCTTCCATCTCCGGATATGAGGATGGGTACCACAGTTGCGAGTTTCCATTCACACAGGAGTATGCCAGACGTAATGACGGAATCTGAATGGGAAAATAAGGCGTTAATCACATTGAGCAAGCGAGGGGTAATCACCGGGAGCATTATTCGCAACAAACCGATGGCGGTCCCGTCACTTCCGCACGTCTGCGACGACACGCGTTTCGATGCTGCATGACTGAAACCCGTCCTAACCTGTCACCACAGGGCTGATAGCGTCAAAGTTGGGCGGCCATCTCCCATAGGCCATTGCCTTCTGCGCCAAGATACGAGATGACATTAATTAAAGGAACTGAGGTAATCAAGAGCGCTTTTCAGTGTTTTTTTTTCGAACGAGGCAAATCTTGCTATTCCAAAAGTAGGCCTCTGACCTAAACAAAATAGCACCATGAATCTTGTCACATTCGCACATCTCGGTTAGCTTTCAGCCCATTATTTCTATAGCCTGAATCACTCCTAACAGACATCTTGCAATCTATGAAAGGAACGCCTAACAACGCTGAACGTGGGATACAGACCAGACTTGCCGCAGCTGTCAGCACGTTGAGCCAATCCGTCCCAAAAGCTCAGTTGATTAGGAGCGATGCCTTTCAATTAACACGCCATGGCGAGGGTGGTCTCTGGCTGCTTAAGGCGCTCGCCGTTTGCCGCTGACGGGTAGCGCCTGCGGCAGGTGGCAGCGGCCACGTTGGACGTCAGGTGACGTCAGAGGCCAGTGCGGACCGAGCTGAGCAGTATGGCGCACTAAGCTTTCGCTGTAAAATCCTGTCGTTCACCCGAGATTTAACGATCGGATGGTGGGGTCAGTGTTCATCAACAGGCACTGTTTAGCGTGAACGCTGACCCCAGAAATCCATTCAATCGCAAGGGTTGGACCAAATCTTTGAAAAATAATCTCGCCCTCGTTTAGGCAGAAGTAAAGTCACCTTTCTGATAAACCGCCACTCCGTATTCGAAAGTCCGATGAGCAAGCCGGCCCGTCTCCGATCCCAATCCCCGTCCCACGGCGGTACGAGCACCTGTCATCACTGTCGCTCCAGTGTCGCGCCGCCTCGCGCCATTCACACCGTTGTGCGGTCTGGAGCCGGCCAAGGTCAGAGACGTTCGGGCCCGTGACGTCACAACCGCGCCGTGCGGCCACTTAGCCGTGCGTGTTAGCTCGTAAAGGTAACGAACGGCGTTACCGACCGCGTGGCTGATCTAGCTGGCGGACGACCTTTCGACGAGGAGCTCCGGAAGCGAGGCGCGCGGGAACGCGTGCTGCGCCCCACCTCAGATCAGAGACTTCGAATGGATTACTGCGCAGACATAAAGTGACGATGCAAGGAACCGCTCCGATTAAAAAGCTTCTGAGCACGCATACAGCAGGAGCAGAGAGGTGATTCAAAAAGCATTGTTCCAACTATAAGCCGGACTATTGCAAAAATGGGCATTTCTGCCATCCCGTGTTTACCAGCAGCACCGTAAAGCAATGGTACTTGACATTATCCTTATGCTGGTGCCGGTTTAGGTGTGTTTGGATTCCCAATGCCGTCATAAACAGGCCCTTGCCAGATATCACAGCGTGATTAGCTCCCAAAAAGACGCGTGAATATGATACAGGAATCTTCTACCTTCCGGGCTTTACGATTTTTTCTACAGACATAGCCTCCTTCGCGAGCATACAACATAAATATCGCTTCTGATGCCGATAAGTACTCCGTGCTCGTCCGGCAAAGGTGTAGAATGGTGCTTACATTACCATCCATTACTTCATTACTGTATATTATCACAAACAATACGCTATTTTGTTTCACGTTCTGATACGACGCGCTCATAGCAACACCTTACAAAACACAAAATCGCGTGGGACCAGTCACACTCGCATACACGACAAAAGACGAACGGTAGCGTCATCTCTTGCCGACCCGCTTCATCAGGTTTTCACGAATCTGCCGGTAGGGGTGCTGCTGTTCGCTGGGCGTAAGTGGAACGCCGGCCGCCCGCCGCAGGGCCGGAGACATCAGCGCCAGGTTGGAGAGAAGGCCACAGAAGGAGGAGGCCGTCCAGTAGAACACCACCGCCTGACACACGAGCAGACAAAGATCAAGTTTCAAAGAGAACTCAAAATAAAAGGTAAAAGAGAACCAACTGATGGCCGTTGTATCTGGAGATCGTCCTCAACCGCGACAGATATACACGCCTCAACAATCATATCTTTTTGGTCTTCTTTTCGTATGCGTGTTGGTCTGCGCATCTTTAAGGGCGTATAGCTGAGAAACTAGAGGATATTAGGTCTTAAGAAGAGCAGTGCTGTAAGCTGCGCCAAGTGATCTTCAAGACGGCTATTTAAGTTCACAACCCCATACAAATGTGCAACACTCCTGTTAAGAGCGTGAGCCGCTAGCGTCGACGAGCCCAGATCAAATCTATTACCATTGGCAGCACCGCAGCCACGCCAGGCCCTTCAGTAGGTGCGGCTACTCTCTCAGGGATCGGGGGCATTGCTGCCGCCAGAACGACGCAGAACAATTGAAACCGGGAGGCGTCACCGTGGTCAATTCTTCTCTTACGCACAAAAACATGCATATCGCACGCACACAGACACACACGTAAAGAAGCTAAACTCAGACTAAATTTTGTAACCGCCATGAAAATGCGCCGAGTCGGTTGGGCCTAAGTAATTCGTGCATTTCAAATTAGCGGAAAGGTGCGGCACTACAGACACATGCGCCGAAATTTGAGCTGGTTCAGAACCAGCACGGCAGCTCTCGCGCCACCTGACTCGCTGATAGTTGGGCGCCATCAGCGCACGCCACATCAGCATCAGCCACGGGTGTCACGTACCGCCGGCAGCTGGGCGGCCACGGGTACCACGACGAGTGTGACGCCTCGGATGAGGTTGGTCATGTACCGCTGGAGCCGTGTGCTGCGTTGCAGCCGGCTCAGAACGCCCACCTGGCCGCCATCAGGTCAGGTCAGGTCAAGTCAGGCCAGGTCAGGTCAGGTCAGATTATGCCAGGTCAGATCAGTGCGAATCACATCAGGTCACATCCAACCGATAGAGAACGGAAAGCGATACCGCCGAGCAAAATCCCTTCGTGCTTTCACTGAGGCAGTATACCTGCCCGGTTCACGGTGGCGCGACAGAGGGGTCGCGGCCGATGTCTGCGCACGTCTCTGCAACACAAACAACGCGTCGAGGCTCGCACCTCGATAGCGCAGAGGTTACAGAGGCCGAAGAGCAGCGGCAGCACCAGCGTGGGGTCCGGCGCGGCCAGATTTGGAAACCACAGCACGCCTCCCACCGCCAGCTGCAGCCGTATCAGCTGGCTGGCTGCCGACAGACAGCGGAGCACCGTCAGGCGACAGGCCGCGGCTCGCGTGCCACGCTAGCTTTGGCGGGCGACGTGAGCTCCGGCACGATCTCATCACTGACGAGCTGCAAGAACCATGCCGTTTGCAAATTGCTACTAGCTGCGCCAGGGCGTTGGCGGAGCATGTCCGTGTCGCGAGGTGTGGCGGCAATGCTCCTAGCACAAATACCGCTAACGAGACACTTCCACGACAAGACTTCTACACGACATCGCCTCTAATGCAAGGGCTTCTAAAGCATAAACTTCTACGCGACAGAGTTTATAACGCAAAAACGTATCGGCGACATTACTTGTGTGACAGAACATCAAACGCAAAAATTATACGCGACAATGCTTCTAATACGAGAACTTCCAACGCGTTACCATCTACGCGACAAAACCGCTAACGCGAAGACATCTGCACCACATTACTTCTACGCGACAAATCTTCTAACGTAAAAACTTCTCCGCAGCATTACTTCCAACGTCAAGAGCTTCTAAGGCATGAACTTCTGCACGACGAAGCTTCGAACACAAGAAATTCTTCACGACAAAACTTTTAACGCAAGACATCTACGCGACATCACTAGGGAGACGTGTGCGTGTTTGCCCGCCACCGCCTTGTGTCTGTTGCCCAGGC